TCTGCTTGAGGTAAAGGAACTGATTCCTTTTGGCAGATGGTAACTGGTTTCACAAGTTCCTGAGGAATTCTGGCTTTATTTAAGCATCAGAAATCCTCCTAAAGTCCAGATAGAGCTGGGCCTAGATGTAATTTTGGACCAAGTCAGTGGGCCTGCCCTTTGTGAGTCAAGGGGGCAAGGGAAAATGAGGTGTCCTTTGGACCTGATAGAAACACTAAGAATTTTTAAAAGCAAAACAAACAAAAATAAATAAACAACAAAACAAAAATGCTAGCAAAAATGAAGAAAGCCCTTGGTGGGCTCATTAGGAAAGTGGACAAGTGGATTCAACTGAGGAATCTCTCAGCTTGACAGTCTCTCCTCAAAATCATGAAAGTGAGAACAAAGAAAAACACTTTAAAGAAATGAATTTTCAAGAACAGTGACATAGCTACAAAAATGCAATGAACACATAATGGACATTTCAAAGAAGGGAATGGAACAGAAGTATTTGAAAAAGTAACAGCTGAAAATGTCTTCAAATTAATATGACATACCATACCATACCATACCACAGTCTCAGGACATCCCCAGACAACACCAAGGATGATACATGCAAAAAGCAATAGCTTGCTATGGTGGCAGAGGCTGGTAGGATATTCTGAAGAGCCAGAGGCAAGAGTGTCACAAGCCAAGGTCAGCCTGGGCTACACCTTGGTGCTGATAGTCTAGGCAAGAGTGTCACAAGCCAAGGTCAGCCTGGGCTACACCTTGGTGCTGAAGAGGTGGCTTGGTGGTTAAGAGCACTTCTTGCTCTGGCATACTTTGGTTTGGTTCCCAGCACCTATATGGCTGGTCACAACCACTTTAATTCCAGTTCCTGGGAAACAATGCCCTCTTCTGGCCTCCATGGGCATCAGGTACACATGTGGTACAAATACATACATGTAGGCAAACATTGACACACAGAAAAATAAACCTTTAAAAAACAAAACCCAAATAAATCCATCCAAACAGACCTACATGTATAATTTGTAAACTTTGAAAAAAATAAAGATAAAAATACTGAAAGAAAAAAACTTACCTATAGAGGAGTACACATGAGAGGTACCTCTAACTTTTCTTCAGAAATCATGCAAGAGCAAACATTTATGCCAGAAGATATAGACAATTTGAATAAGCCAATCTAGAAGTTGAAAAGAAATGAACATCTTCAAAAGCAGAGAGCAGTAGGGTGGATTTGTTCATTGGTCAACTCTACTAAAAGCTGGAGAAAATTATTCCAGCTCTGTACAGTCTTTTTCAAAGGCTGGAACACTTGCACATAGTTTTGGTAATATGCCTCAACTCATTCTAAGAAGCTAGCATCATCCTAACACCAAAACCAGACAAATATTACAAGAAAACCACATATCAGGATTACTCATAAACACAAAAATCCTCAACAAAATATTAGAAATTGGAATCTAACAATTTGTAGAATAATTAAACATCACCAATAAGTGGGATTTACCCTAGCTATACATGGCTGGTTTAACATTTAAAATTCTATTATTCTATAACAGAACTCATGTATGAAATTCTCAAAATAAATTAAAAAATTATAAGATGTCACTTCAGATATTTATTTATAAAAAGGTATTGATGTCAAATATTTTAATTACATTATTGTTAAGATTAAATAGATGAATTCATTTGAGCCTAATAGATCATAAGCAACTACTGTGCTGCTAAGTAAGATTGCAGAATTTAGGAGCTGTACAGAAGACTTTGTGGTTAAAATTAATTCTTTTTATTCCCAGAAGACCCAAGTTTGGTTCCCAAGATCCATTTGTATAAGCAGCTGTATAAGCAGCTGGAGGGAGATCTGACATTGTTGGCCTCCAAGGGCACTTACAAGAACATCTTTCCTCCCTCCCTCCCCCCACCCCCCCCCTCTCTCTCACACACACAAGCACACACACACTTTTAAAAGCAATGAAAAAGATTCTGGAATTTAGTTTGCTTATACCATCATATTAATATTTTTTAAAGTAAGGGATAACTCTCTAGTTATATGATTCCTGTGAGAAAATAATAGTTCCCTATTTTTATTTATTATTATATGACTCTCAGTAATTAGATTTAGAGAAAATTCTTCAACTGCATATAATATACCCAGGAACCTTTTAGCTAATATCATGCCTAATGATGAAAAACTTGAATCATTCCCATTAGATTAGGAATGAGGCAAGAATTACTTTACACACCCATTTCTAACAGACTAGAAGTCCAGGCTAATGTAGTAAGGCAAGAAAAGCAGCTAGAAATACACAGGATTGGAAGGAATCAAACTTTGTTCACTCATGACACAATAATTTATGTAGAACAACTCCCCCAAACTAAAGAACAATTTCTGGAAAGAATAAGTAATTATAATGTTGCCTACACAGTTGACATACAAAAGTCAATTACTGGGCTATGACTGTAGCTCTGTGGTAAAGCACTTGCCTGGGTCTGAGTTCAATCCCCAGTACTTCTGGGGGGGGTGTTTATTTCCTGCATGCCAACAAGAAGCAGGCACAATTTGAATTTAAAAACAACTCTATTTACATAAGAATAACTCAAAATTAATAAAATTGAACAGAATGTGTTCAAGATCCATGTGATAAAATCTACAAACCTTTGATAAAAGAACATTTAAATAGAGATATTCTCCATTAATTAATAGGCAGACCTATTATTATCATGATGACAATTCTCAACGTGACCTGTGGTTTCAATATAATACCCATTAAAATATTAGGAAGTTGCTTTATGAATTGTAGGAGAAATAAAGCCCTTGTACTCACAGACAAGCACTAGGGAAACATGCAAGGTTATTTCTGGGAAAGGGTGTGATTAATAACCTATATGGCCAGTGCTGTCCTCCCCAGACCCTTATCTTAAGCATTGTGAGCCTGCTTTCTCAGTCAATCTATAGGGCCCATGTTCTTCATAAAGGAAACAGATGTGGTTTACAGCTTGGTGACCTTTGCACTTATCTATATGACTGAGACCCACCAGATCTTTCCCAAGACCTTCAAAAAGATGTCACATGCAGTCAACTATAGAATCTATCTTTTCTTTCTTTCTTTCTTTCTTTCTTTCTTTCTTTCTTTCTTTCCTTCCTTCTTTTTCTTTCTTTCTTTCTTTCTTCTCTTCTTCCTTCTTTTCTTTTCTTCCTTCCTTTCTTTTTCTTTTTCTTTTTTTTTTGAGACAGGGTTTCTTTGTGAAACAGTCTTAGCTGTCCTGAAACTAACTCTGTAGACCAGGCTGACCTCAAGCTCACAGAGATTCACCTGTCTCTGTTTCCTGAGGGCTGGAATTAAAGGTGTTTGCCACCACTGTCTGGTTTATAGAACCCATCTTTATGGAAGAAGTCACATGCACTTTATGAAGAGTTTCAATGTAATCTTGTCTTAAGCTTTGTTGTACAAATGGGAATGAGCTAATTATCACCAGGAAACTTTTTTTCCAAATTGTGCTGTGCTTAAATATACCTGAAATAAACTACCCAGTGTCAGACTCTTGAAATTTGAACCAACACGCTCTACTAAGTCATGTGGAACTGGATCTCCTTCATGCCTCACATGGACCAGATCAACACTGCTGACCATGGTGTTCACAAAAAACCCCCACAAGGGATTCTGAAAAATATGATTTGAACATTATTATGGAGAGGTCAAGACACTTACTGGTCAATACAACATTGAGGGAGAACAAAAAAGTTGGTGGACTGACATTAACCAACCAAGAGACTTACCAAAATGACAACAGTCAAAATTACATTGGTAAAAGGACAGACAATAGATCCAAGGAACAAAATATAGGACCTGGACATAGACCTACATGAATACATCAAGTAATCTTTGAAAAATGATTAAACTAGTACAATGGACTAGTCTAGTCATTCAACAACTGGAAACAGAATTCCTGAACATATACATGCAAGAAATGAAAGTAGACCTACACCAAACAGGTATCTTTCACAAAATTAAAATGGGAAAGAGATGAAGAGTTAAAAGAAGATAGATTTTTTAGGATGGTAAAATGGACATGTTATTCTACATTTGCCAAGACCTTCAAAATGTGCAGTACCAAGAACAAACCCTAGTAGAAACAACAGACCAGTTATGAAGTGCCCATATATAGGATTCATGAATTACAGCAAATACAGAAATGTTGAGGGGATAGTGCTACTGTGGAGGTTATTCATGTTTTTAGGCAGGGCCTGTATTGGAAATCTGTACTTTCTCAAATTTGCTGTGAGCCTACTGCTAGTCTTTCAAATATATAAATAAAGGGGCATCAGTATGCTCTGCTATCTATGGATGTAACACCTACTTGTTCCTGCCTATTATCATCCCAGGATTCTACTAACTTTGCTATTTCCATTTTTGAAAGTGTGATTCATAGACATAAAGGATTGGGATGTAGAATTGGAGTGAACTTCTATGATCTCTCATTCTTGTAACTCATGCAAAGGACAATCTGGGATTTCAAACTCACAAAGGGAGCTACTACTGGACTAACAAGGGGACAGACAGGCAAGGAGACAGTTCCAAATTCTAGCAAAAGCACAACACAGAGAAGCCACCTAAGAATGCCACTGGATACTCAAAGTGAATTTATTTCTGAATTAAGGATCATCAAAGGGAAATATTAAATCATGTTATAAAAACAGTAGTAAAATACAGTACACAGGAATGCCATTTGAATGTTAACAGGATGAAAGTACAATAGCAACAGAAAGTTGGTTCATTAACCTTAAATACAAAGGTGAAGCAGTTTAATAACAAATTTTGTTAATATGAAAATATATGTCCCATATCTTTATTACATACTGTACAAAATAAAATATTGCACCTTTGAGTCACATAATAAATATATACAAAGAGTACTTTACAAATGATGTTTCTTTTAATTTAATAAGCTCAACAATCAAATGTGATTGATGACTAACCACTCAAGGGCTGGTGTGCTCTTGCTTTTGCCCTGTCTGTTCCAGACCACCGAGCCCTCCACCTCCAGTAGTGTTTGTCCCAGTGTCAGTGAGGCTGAAGTTGGAATGGAAGAGAGACCTGTGCTCAGATGATGGCTGAGAGGCTCAGCAAGCTTCTCCACAGACAAATCCAAAGCCACAATGCGCTGTTCACATGTTGATCAGGAGGTAGGTCCAATGCAACCTGCCTCAGGAAAGGTTGCGTTGTGTGCCAGGAGGCTGTGGGCACTACGTGTGCATGCAGTTGGAACACCCAGTAAAGAAGCAGGACCATCGTTTGGGGTTGTGTAGCATCTAAAGCCATAAATGGCAAGATATCATGGAAAGGTCCCCGTAGCTGAATCAGTTGTAGGAGTTAAAATTGAATGTTAGCCTCAACCTTCTTTAGCAGCAAAAGTGACCCCAATGTCATGAACACTAGCATTGGCCCAAGAGCTCCAACCCTGTCCTAAACGGGCCCTAACCTTAAGACCAGCTCTGGTCTTAGTCCTAATGTAACTTCTTTTCTCACCTAATTGAATCCTAGTGCTAGTTCAAGATGAATTCAACACTTCTTCCCAAAGCACAACCCAAATCCCAACTCTGGCTCCTAACCCCACAATTGTTGTTTCCAGGGTAATCCTAATTGATTTTGGATTTACCAACAAAATCACCTCAAATTAAAACAATCATTTACTATAAACGTTTTCTTTAATTATCATGTTTCTTATTTAGATTACTTTCTTATAAGCTTTCCAAAATAAAAATCATCAGGAATATTATTGTATGCATAAATTACATCTGATAAGGCTCTGATTTCTATGTGCAAGAGAATAGTGCTTAGAAAAACTTTCATTCACAGCTCTGAAAAGAAAGCTTTGAATATACTTCAAAATCAGTAGAAAAGGTTAGCTTTTCCTCTCATTTGATTTCCAAGATGCCTCATTTGGTCACAGACAGATTTCTGTAGTTATGAAAATGGCAGCCATGCCTACTGTGTTTTCTCCCATGGATGCTCTAAGGGTGAAGGTAAGATGCCATCTGCAGTGAATTCTTGGCTCAGCTGGTGTCATGAGCTGTCCATGGAAATTGCCTCTTCTCACGGTAAACTTAAGGATCTAGAAAAAATGCCATTAGTGCTGACATCTGAACAGCTACTGGGCCAGAGCCTTTAAATTGTAAATACCACACAAATGTGCTGAAACTCTGCAATGTGAGAGAAATCCTCAGCTGCAGTGTCTTTAGTATGGACCACTTTTGGCTGGTCTACAAATCACAGCAGGTGATGATGTGCTCACAATGAGGTCCCAGGAGCAAGGGCATGGCTGCTGATGCATTTTTTGCTAATCCTAGAATACATCATTTGAAGAAACTGTAATTAAAAAACCACCACTGGAAAAGCTAACTTTACAAAATTGGAGTAGGTTCTGCTTCTGCCTCAACCTCTGCTTCATCATAGACTCTAGAAACTTTAAGAAGTGTGTGGTTTTGAACCAGAGACATGGGGGAAAGAGCCTCTATATTTTTCTTTTCTCACCACAGCAGCATCAGAACCCCACCAACACTTTATTCTTGGCATGACTGACAGCACCTTTGTTTGTAGAGGGCCACAGAGCACAAGTTAAGGTGCTTTACGAACATACAGTAGTGAGTTGTATCGGTGCAGTTTCCTGCAAAAGAAGAGAAAAGAATCCATAGCATGTGGTTCATTAGAGAAAATGCCTGGTGCAACTGCCTTGCACTATGTCAGAAACAATGGGCTCACTTCTCCACTTGGCCAACTGGTTTCCTGAGATCCTCACAGGTCCTCTGACCCAGGCTGCTACTTTCACAGCTGAGGGTAGGGGTTACTCTTGTAGGGCCACAGGCCCCTCGGAAAACTTAAGAAAGCCTCATATTTGCCCCCTAGGAAAGTAACATGAAATATATTCACTATGTAATTTTAGGACATTTGTTTACCTATACAAGCCCATTGGCTCAGTCTTAGCAGAGGAAACTGCTAAGGAAAATGTGTGTGGCCTGCCTGCTACTCCTTCTAGAATTAGTGCTGCTGGCTGTGCCCCCATTGCTCCTATGTGACAAGCATGAGGTAGGCACATTAGTGTCTGGATTTTGACAAGGCTTATGGGGAGCTGATGATACCTGAGAGGGGTACGTACTATCACAGGAAGGTCCAAGACAGTGCCTCCAGGAAGCTGGTTTCATCTGCACACAATGTCTGTCAGCCATGGGTTTGCAGTTCCCTGTGTAAATGCAGTCGACTTTGCGAGACTGGAAGCCCCTGCCGCAGGCTACTGTACAGGGCTTCCAGGGCCCTACACGCCAACATGTCTCACAGGGCCCTGAGGTACAGTTCCTCCTAAAGGCAGGTCTGAAATGAAAAAAAGAGAAAGAAATGTAAAATGGGAGATGCCACTTTTTGCTGGCATCAATCAAGCCCTTTCTCCTACTATGAGTTCCATGTGCCAGAGGCTTCCTCAGAAAACAAATTTGCACTGTCCATAGCTGGATAAGCAGAGTAGTAGGACTTTCTGACCACAGTAAAGATAAGTAGATACCTGAGAATACTGACCCTTCCCCAGATATTGGAAATGACCTGAAAATACTGATTGTTCCCCAGATGTTGGAAATGACCATATAGTCCACCCACATTATCATTAGATATGCTAAGAAGGTTCTGGAAATGGGCAAACATATTTTATAATAGGAAGAGAGGAAGATTTACTTTAGAAAAAGGGGTCATAGCATTTATTTAAGACTTAGAGTATGAAGCAAATGCAAATGAAAAAGTAGAAATGGAAAAGTACCCTCAGTACTGAAATGAAGTTGAAAAGTGTATGGAGAGAGCCAATGAGTGGCTGAGATGCCACAGTATGTGGCAAGAAGAGAGCACTGGCCTGTGAGAAGCCAGTGGTGACTGTTCACACTCAGGTGTGTGCAAGGAAAATCAAAAGGGTGTGAAATCACTGCAAAGGAACCCTTACCACCAGGAAAGGCATTGGTGCTCCATTGATGGTGAGCACAAGGTCTCTGCCTCCTAGAGTGTTCTATCTAAAACCAAGACCTGAGCTAGGCCTGGAAGCACAAGGTGTGTAATTCCAGCTACATGGGAGTCTGAAGTAAGAGGACTCAAAGGCCAAGTTTTGCCTCAGCTACAGAAAGCCCTAAATTAAAACAACAACAATAACAACAAAATGACCTGGGGATATAGTTAGTGGTAGATCACTTGCTTAGTATGCACAAGGCCCTAGATTTAATCACCAACACTGCTACACACACACACACACACACACACACACACACACACACACACATCCCCTGCCTCTATACCATACAATATAGGTGGCACCTTACCCAATACCTGAGGCTTAGCATCTCCCCTGAAACGTGATCTGACAAAGAAGACATGGCCACAAAAGCTGCATGTTCTCAGGGACTTCCAACATCAAATCAATGTATACCCACAAACAGCCTATAATCTGGAGCAAATCAATTTATGTTAGGAAGAGAGTTATTACAATGGCCACGATAAGCCACTTCAAAATTGTTAACAAGCCTTCTGTTGTTGTTTATAAATCCCCAAACATTCAGCTATAACAAGAATGTATAGTCCTGCAATGTTGTCTGCCACTGGGTGTGTGCTCACATTCATATTTAGGCCACATACAGATTCTTCACCAGTGATTACAAAGATCAATTTACTTGAAAAGTGGGATCTGAAATAGAAAGGAAATTCATTGGTTACTAATGTTTGGAAAGACAATGACCTCAGAGGACAGCATCTCAGCAGATATACTCAGACATATCGCCCCAGAAGGTACATTTGCAAGGTAGGAGACAGTCTCTATCCCCAAAGATGACTGGGAGAAGATCCTAACTTGAAGTGCTTCAGTTGTTGTCTTTCTTTTTGAAATCTGGAAGATGTGGAACAAAAATAAAGGGATAGTAGTGTCTGCCACATAGACCAAAGAGGTCAAAGGCTGTTTAGAAAAAGCCAATAATAACCAAAAACCAAAAGCTGAAGAGATGAGAGAAGAAAAACAAAGCTGACAACTTCCCATTCTCCAGTTACAGTCCCTTCTGATCTACCAGAAGCACCATTGAACTCCCTTGTCATTATTGTAACTAAATTATACCAGTTTATAACCAGCATCTCTTCTAAGGAATGTTGAACTATTACTGGAACTATAAGAAAATGGAATGTGAAAGCCTGACTTATGAAGGAGTTACACAAAGTGGGAATCGGTACTTGGATTCACCAGTAGGCGGAGACACCATCAAAGGGTTTAACTAGGAAACAATACTGTCCCACATAGTTGGCTGTAAGATTTAGGGAAGAGGGGCCAGAAAGGATTGTCCTGTTAATTTCTCTTGTTTTCTCAGTGGGTATAAATCTTAACGTCCCAAAGTTGAGTACTTTGAGAGCAGACTGAACACTCCCTGGATTTCCCTTACTCCAGAGATCAGCTTCCTACAAATACTTACAGAATAGATTCAAGAGGTTAGTAAATGGATGCTCACAAGTGTTAGGTGATCCTGTAATACTAATAAGGCTTTGCTGTCTTTTCAGAAACTTTTGTTTCTGACCTGAAGGGACTTAAGTGATTCAACTGTTTCCTCTTTATTGATGGCAAACCCTGCCTAAATCCAAAGGATGAGAGGCCCAGGGAACTATTAACCAACACAGAGGCCAAAGCCCAGGCCCTCTTGGAGGCTGAAAACCAAAGACCAAAGTTGGTTTAGCTGAGGGCATCAATCTTCAGAGCAGGGAAAAATGACTTGGAATGGGGAGACCCAAGTCAGGTAGAGGTTGTGTAGACACCAACAATACAAACACAGTTTGGCGTCACATGTTTATGAATGTATGATGACAATAGGAATCGTGAAGTGACTGTCCTACTAATGTGCCTCAATTTCTCACTTTTACTGCTTCAAATAATCCTCATACCACCAGACAGATGGAGCTATCAATTCTAAGGGCTGTCAAGGGAGTCCAGACTACTTCTACTCCTACAGTTCCCAGGATTTCTACAATACTACTCAATAAAGCCCACACATCCTGAGCCTTCCTGGGGGTTACAGAAGATACCAGAAGACAGACCACCCACCACCACTCTCTACCCCAGCCCCAATGTGATATCCTGTAAAACACCATCCCACATCTTCTGAGCCTCTGCTGTGGCCTCTGTGCTGTCTCTACTCCAGCCCGTTGCTCCTCTCTAAGCACTTTGAAGATACGAATATCTAAGGCCATCTTCTCCATCTTCTAATCAAACCCACAGACAGCAATCATACCAATCCAGCAGATATCTGTGGGGAGAACTAGGCTATAAAACTTCAGAGAACCCCCTCTCAGCAGCTCTCTCTACTAATCAACTTAGTCCTCTATCCTCAAACTACCAGACACATGAAGCAATGTAACAGCCCTGGAGAACACCAGGTTATGACACAGGTGGGCCAGTCTGGCAGAGAAAAGCCATACAAAGCAAATGAAAGACATTTGACACCTTCACATAAGAACAGCTTTGGGAAATTTTCATTTACTATTCTAATCAAATCTCCTCTTTGATTTCACTTCCATATCCTTTGTGTAAGATACCATTTGATCAGATTTGGAGCCACCTGATAGGTCATTCCATGCCCCCTTTCCTTCTTTTATATTTTCTGCCCCTTGTTTTTGCTGCTTTTGATTGAACCTGTAAGGTCTATCTAAGGACTATCAGGATGAAATAGCAAGATCATATATTTATATATATATATATATATATATATATATATATCATATATGAAAGAAAAAGGGAGGCAGAGTAATGATATATATATGTATATATATGTATATATACATATATATATTTGAGAGATGAGAAGAGAAGAGAAGAGAAAAAAGAAAAGAGGAAAGGAAAGGGAAGAAAAAAGAGAATTCAGGGAAGGAGGAAGTAGAGTTGAACAAGTAGCCCCACATTAAACATTTTGGTTAGCCTTCTCCCTAGAAGCAAGTAAAGTCTGAATTACAGTAGTAGCTGACTAGGTTTGCATTTGCACAACCACCTTGATCTGTAGCATGGAGACCGTCCTGGAAAAAAGAAGAATGGAGAAAGGGAGACCAACAGGATGAATGTGGTTTGGTCAAGGGTGATAGTGGACAAAATGAAAAAAAAAAGGAAGGTGGATTCAAGAAAAAAGGCAGAAGGGGTCAAAACTACATATAAAACATTACAGAAAAGAACTCTATCATATTAATTAAAAATTGAAAGATTAAACACCTATCTAATGTTAATGAAATGGAGATAACTCTCATATTGTTTAGATAGTTTGATGGTAATTTGGAAATATCCAAGGGAGCATGTTTACAAATTCACTTTGATTTCTAAATATCTACCCCATAAAAATGTAACTGAGTGTAAAGACATACGTTGTAAGATGTTTGTTACAGCATCTGTTTATAAGGGCAAAAAATTAAAACAATATACTATCATAGACATAATGGAATATTAAATATCATAAATAAAGCCAATGTGTGCCAAGATAGAATATGTTTATAATGTATTCTTAAATATAAAACTAAGTTTCAGAAAAATGTGTAGTATGTTAAAATAAAAGGCTCCATCCATATATGCTTTTGGGTTGTAAATATGTCCTTATGACAGCAAAGAGAAACATCTGGGATGGTGCACATCTGTGTGTGGTCTCTATCTTCTCAGTAAAGTAGGAAACTAAGTTGTCTGTTGAGAATGAGGGCAGCTGCTACAAATATTTTCCATTTGAGGAGAATGATTCTGGCTTGAAATCACCTTGTGAGAATAGGAAATACTGCTGACTCTACATTGCCAAACCATACTGAAGGCTCAGAACAGCAACCAAGCCAATAGTCAAGGTCATTCCACCTCTTCAGCAGAATTCAAGATGTGGAGCAGTAAGAAAGTATTAGATATGGGGTGTTCTCTATGAGCAGGACTGCTTTGGTGCTGACACTCTGCTCACTAATTGTAACATTTTAACTTCAGGATCACATGCATGATAACATTGCATTTGCAATATAGACAGTTACGTAGTCCAAGGTCACGCATAAAAGAACAATGGAATGAAAATTCCCTGGTGTTGCATAACTTGCAGGTTCCCTCACACTTGGGATGGCTGGGAGATTATCTTCTAGGATAGTAGAGCCAACAGATGGAGGCTGGCCATCCAGGTGCTCTCATGAGTCAAGTTCTACTCTACCACCTGTCCATGCAGACATCCATGCAAGAGAAAAACAGCCCCCTTGAAAACTAAATCATTATGCTAATATCCAAATCAGCACAGCTTCTAAATAGGAATGAATCATTCACTGAAAATAGGAAAATTTAGCCTGTAAAGCCAACTAAAATATCAGGCTTGAGAAAAAAATATATTTAAAACATATACATGACACGTCATGTATATAACACACACACACACATATATGTGTATGTATGCAAACACATATGCACATACACATATGTACATACATATGTTTACAAATCTATTTGGGGGCCCCCTTTTCCCCTTTAGAGTATTTTCTCTTTCTGTTTAACATCCAAATAACTGTCAGTAGGAATAGTGTTTATCGACCATATTTCAGTATAATGCATACTATCAAGGATGGCATTAAATACATCATAACTGGCTAGAAATTTTCAATTATGAGAAGTGACAGAAACTAGGAATAATTCCATTTCACGCAGTTCTGGTCCCTGAAGGTGCAAGGGGAGGTGTGTGCCGCACTGGGCTGGGGTCAGTACCTCTTTTTGTCCTCACAGTCAGAGATGGAGCTGTTGTGGGCACAGGGTGTGTGGCGCTGCTGTGTTCTCTTGGCATAGCCCATGCAGCGTCCAGGACACTAGAACAGAAGCATAGTGCAGTGTTGAAGCACCCTGAACACCCAGGCACACTGTGTGTGCTGAGATCCCTACTGAAGTGGATTGGCCAAGGACAAGTTACAGGGGGCCATCTGTCCCTATGGCGAGGGGTATAATTAGCTCTGCAGACAGACCTATGCCCCCACCCCCGTTCTTTATTCCCTGAAACTCAGACCACCTGGGGGAAAGGGAAAGGTTGGGCTAAAGCTTAAGTATGGAAACAGCAATATTTAAAACAATTAGTGAAGCCAAAGTTTTTTGTTTTGTGGTGTGTGTGTGTGTGTGTGTGTGTGCGTGCGTGCACATGCACCTTGTTTTTTTGTTTGCTCTGAGCAAAGATGGAGGCACCTGTGCTAAGGCAAGTTCAGCTACTGGAGAAACAACTCCAGCTTGATTTGCAGCCCTTGAATTTTTGCACAGCTGTAACACCCATCAAGTTTCCCTCATCATAGTATGCATGTAAAAGTCTGTTACATTTTTATTACTGTTATAATGAGCTCTCTGGTGAGGTCAGAATTTTGCGGTGTATGTTCTAAGTGTAGTCTTTGATTTTTCTTACCTTACCTAACTGATTTCTCTCATACAATCTTTTTATGTTATAGCTATATTTTATTGGGCTTTAATTCACCTGCCATATAATTATCAATCATTTAAAACACTCATTGTAATGGCTTTCAGACTTGCCACACCACAGTCAAGTTTGGAACATTATCATCATCCCTCACAGAAACCCAGAGCCCTCAGCAGTCCTTCCTCACCTAGCAGGCCTAGGCAGCCACAAAGCTGCTTCTTGTCTGACAGATTTACCTACTATACACACAGCAGTGTAGTCCTGTGTTTGACTTCTTTTATTTGTCTTGAGATGCTCCAGGTCTGGCCATGGTATAGAATGTGCCAGTCCCACATTCCTTTTAACGATATTAGTTGTACTAACACGCCACAAGCTCAGATACGTTGGCACTTGCCTCATCATTTTGGCAGTTGTGTTACTGTTATTTGTGTTGTTTCTGCTGCTTGGTTATTGTGAGTAATTAGGTTATCACCTCTATCTGTAAGTGTTTGTATGGTGTTTTCACTGCTCTAGGATACACACCTAGCAATGGAACTTCTGGGTCATCCTCAAGTTCATGTTAACCCCTTAGGAACCTGCAGATTGTTTTGTGATGAGGCTGTACCATTTTACACCCTGTCTACAGTCCTGTAGGCTCCAGTTCTGCATTCTCTGGTCAAACTGTTTTTAAACAATGCAAAAAATGCCTGCAATGTGGCATTGAGCTGTGGTTTAAATCTAATTTCTAGGTCCTTATAGTGCTGATATTTCCATTTAACAAAATAAAAGGTCCTCTATTTGTCCAACTTTTAATTTATTGATTTTAATAGTATACTATCTTTTAACATTTATTTTATATATGAGTGGTTTTGCCTGCTTGCATGTGTGCACACCACTTGTGTGCCTCATGCTCATGGAGGCCAGAAGAGGACACTGTATCACTCAGAACTGGAGTTAGCAATGGTTGTGAGCCATCATGTATGTTTTGGGAAGCAAACCTATGTCCTATGGAAGAGAAGCCAGTGCTCTTAACCTCTGAGCCATCTCTCCAGCCCCAATGTACTATATTTTTCTTTAAAATTTTCTATACATTGCAAACAAATTTCTTAGGTATTTTTCTTTATAATTTTGTTGGCTTTTTAAAGACAGGTTATTTATAGGTAACCTGAACTGGCTTTGTATCCCAGGCTAGCTTGAAATTTGCCATTCTGACAGTCTGCTACGCTCAAAATCAGTGCTCTAGTCAGCACTCATCAGAGAAGCTTCTGCCTGTAGCAGAGCAGATGGGAACAAATACAGAGACCCACAGTCAGATATTATGCAGAGAGAGAGAGACCTTAGAACATAGCCCTAAACAGGAAGTTTCCATCAAATCCTTCCCCTCAGGCCTCAGAGAACCCTGAGGAAGAGGATGTAGAAAAAGTGTAAGAACCAGAGGGGATGGAGAACACCAAGGAAACAAAACCCTGTAAACACAAGAGGACAGGCCCCCTTATGAACTAACAGAGATTGAGGCAGCATGAATGGAAGCCCCACATCAACCTGATGCAGATAGGATCTTAGAGCTGAAAGAAGTAGACACATGCCTCATCTCTAACCCAGAAGCTATCTCCAATTGACCACCACTTTCAAATGAAAATTTAGTTTTCCCCAGGGTTCGCACTCTTAAGGGTAGACTGTACACCCACCCAGTAGTATGACCAACAGAAAATGAACTCAATGGCATCTGTGAAGGTTCCATGTCTCTTAACGTCATGTCAGGTTTGTTTGCTTGTTACAATTTTATTTCTCTGTTTTAATTAATTAGTTATATTTCTTATTACACCACAGGTCCTTTGCATATATATTATGGCTTCCAGATGTATTTTTATGGGATTCCTAAATGTGCAAACAAGTTGTCTCTATGTCTATATCTGTTTCTTGTGCCTTTTCTTGGGCTCTTTTCCTTTTGTTTGTTTTGTCCTATTCTGATGTGTTAGTTTTTGTTTTATCTTATTATATTTTATTTATTGTATTATTAGCCCCTAGAAACCTATTACTTTTTTTAAATGAGAGATAGGAAGGGGGTGGGAAGAAACTGGAAAGAGTAGGAGAGGGGAAACCATAATCTGAATATATTATATGAGGAAAAGTATATTTTCAATAAAAGGGAAAATACATGGCCCACTAATAATTTTAAAGTATCCATGACAACATTTTAACCTATATATTTTGTTTTGATAATGGCTCAACAGAACACATTTATCTTGCACAACTTTGTACTCTTTAAGGTCACACCCTTGTTCCCCTGCCACTCAGCTCTTTAAAACTACTGTTCTATTCCCTGCTTTTATGAACTTGATTAGACTCATGAACAAGAGGAATCATAGTCTTCGTTTTCTGTGCCTGGATTACTTCATATGGTCACAAACATATGATATCATTTCAATGTTGAATAAATCCTTCAAGTTAGATATTCTAAAACAATTTGAAAGTTCATTAGTAACAAAGATGTGATTACAGATAATACTGCCAATACCTAAGGTTACCTGGTTTCCTTGGTCGATGGCCTGTTGAACACATGGACGGACTGAACACGATTTTCTCCCCAGAGGCCTGTCTCTAGGAGCACATGCCCTTGGGGACACCACCTGTACAGTCCCATTGGCTTTTGTCTGTTTGCATGTCACTTGCCGACTGTGAAATCCTTCACCACAAGACACAGAACACTCTGACCACACACTTGTAAACCACCTAGGAACAAAAGCTACAGGACCTTAGCAAGGGCTGTCATGAAAAGGCTCATTTGCTGATCTTAACACTATGGTGGTGTCAGGGGAGTCTCATGTCTCTTCAGGACAAGGTTGCAGCACAGGTGACTTCCAGTCTTCCTCCTCCCCTCCCCTCAGGAACAGCAGTGTCACTAGGTTGAAAGAACCAATGTAGTGATAAATGTGCCACCTACGAGGTTTAATAGAGAGTTGTCACTCTACACCAATTGTCAATGTACACATTTCCCTGTGGATTTGTATCATGATATTTATGTTTTCTCAAGGGTGATTCTTATATGACATGTTCCATTTAGAAATGATAGTAGTTACTAAAAGATATGGCAGGTAGAATGCCTTCAACATTGTCAGTCCTTCCAAGGACATGCTTCAAAGCAGCTGTTGTATCTGACATAGTGACTCTGCTTCTCACAGTCTTCTGAGGCATGGGCAACCACCTGCAGTGTGGGTGTGGACATTTGTATAGGAAATGGAACTATAGAACAACAATGTTCTCCTATTTAAGACAATCTCTATCATTTTTATGAGAGAGAGAGAGAGAGAGAGAGAGAGAGAGAGAGAGAGGAGAGAGAGAGTGCTATGAGTGCCCACTGAGGCAGAGGGCATTAGATCATTGGATCTTCTGGAGCAGGAGTTATAGGCAGTAGTGAGCCCATGGACACGGGTGCTGGGCACTGTGGTTCTCTACAAGAACCTATGCCTCTTAACTACTGAGCCATCTCTCCAGCCCCTACTATCCATCTTGAAAAATCATGCCTGCCTTACAGATCTGAGCTCAAAAATACAAAAGCACCTCTTTATTTGTTAATTTTTTATTATTTATTTTTGTGTCATTTGCTGAATTTTCTGCTAGACTATGTGGCAATCATTTATTTCATATTAACACTTTCTCTGAGTATAGCTACTGAGCTATTACCCAATCTAAATTACTGTGCCTGTAAAAAATAACTTTTAATATTATTTTATGTGTATGGGTGTTTTATGTGTATGTATGTCTCTTCACCATGTGTGTGCTTAGTGTTTGCAGAGGCCAGAAGAGGGTGTCAGATTCCCTGGAAGTGGACTTACAGATGGTTGTGAGCTGCCATGTGGGTTCTAGGAATTGAACCCGGGTCCACTGGAAGAGCAGCTAGTGCTCCTTAGCCTCTGAGCTATTTCTCCAGTCTCTAATATATCTTTCAAAGTCAGCAAAAGAAAGTGACTAGACATACATACCTTGCTGGGCAATCCCGGGTATTACAAGATTGAAACCCAGTTAGCAGCTTCCTGTGAGGCCCACAAATGGCTTCACTCACTTCCTGCCCACTGGCCAACACACACCGGGGCCTCTGAAGGCGGACTCCCAAGGGGCCACAGGTAGCAGAACAATGTGTCCAGTTACCAGGTTCCCAAAAAGGCTCTGCAGAAAGGAAATGAAATATCACCAATAATCGCAAATAAGAAAGGATGATGTTCTGGCGGCAAGAGGGCCAACGACCACCATCAGTTGTTCTGGGTTAGCTACATACCTGCTTTTTAAATGGCACACACAGAAAAAAGCCATTGCCCAGTGTGAGGCTTATTTTCTCTTGAGAGACTATTGTCCCTGAAGACGGAAAATGGCCAGAATGGGCTCTTTGGAGCACAGCCTAGGAAATGGCCACGGTAGGTTGGCTAGGTCTTCCAAGAGAAATGGAGGGAGCATTGGGCAGCCAGTGCTTCCTAAGGATTCTCTAAGCAGAGCCAACAGGACAGGGAGGAAGGCCTCTCCAGGGGATGCCCCACTGCCATCCATTTTCCAAAAACAGATCAGGCAGAGAAGCAGACGATGATTTAGCAGGAGGAATGGGGACCGGGGATTAAGCAGTAAGGTGAGATGCATTTGAGTCCCACCCTTACTTTTCCGTTAATTCTTAACCCAAATATCACATTAGCCCTAAAACTGCATAAATAATTTGTTCTGGAGACATCTGGAAAGGAAAGAATGGGGTTTCCTTTAGACAAATAGAAGCCAAGCACCCCTCAGTAATCACAGCTTTCATGTTACCCTTCCCTGGTGACACTCGGTAAAAGATGAGGTAGGACATGATGATGACAGGTTTGTGGATAGCCACAGAAAATGCCAGATTTCCCTGCAATAATCATGAATAATTGATAGCTACCAGCTGTGTCTACATGATCTCTCCCAGAATGGAATGGTTTCTTTAACTTATTGTTTTCCATTCTGAGTTTTAAGTTTTTACCTTAAATTGCACATGGCATCATTTGCAGAGCAGAACCATAAATTATATCTCCAGTTGGACTTTCAGAATCATAGTTTATTTAAGAACGGGTTTTTTTTTTCAAGGTAGTCATTTACTGAGATTCTCCAGGGTGAACAGGTAGTGGATTAGATACTTTTAAAATTAATCTTCCATTGACTGTTATGAAGCTGCTAATTTTATCTTTATTTTCAGAGATAGAGAGATTAAATGAGGCTCAGTAAGTTCCCCAATGTCTGTTATGTATCGGGGATATTGGAACCCACACATGTCTAAATCCAGGTCTCAGTGCAAGGCAGGACACATGTGCCTTCTTTAAAATGATTGGTCATTTATTAAAGTATAATTTATGTACAAGAAAGTACTCAGATCTCAATTTTATGAGCTCCACAATTGTCTGAACTCTTTTATCTGTGATCCACAGCAAGGCTAAGAATATTTTTTAACACCCCTAAAGCTTTCATTTTGCCACTTTCCAATTAGCCCCTTTCCCCTCCCAGGTGACTACATGTTTTTTTGTTTTGTTTTGTTTTTTAACTACCATTATATCTTGGCTGTTCTTCTTCATGGGCTTATGTATTTAGCTTCCTTTGTTTGGTATACTATGTTTGGGGATTCACTCATATCATTGGGAGTATCAATAGTACATCTTCATTTACTGCCAAATAATTCACCATTTCTGAATACACTGTAGTCTTCATTCTGCTTTCAAAAGCTATCATGAGAGCTCAAACCTTTTTTTGTGAGCATGTTTTCATTCTGAATGAATACCTATGAGTAGAATTTCTGGGTTGAGAATGGGTGTGTGTTTAACTACAAAGTGCCAAATAGCCTTCCAGTGTGATCTCAGCTTACCATCATATAAAAGCTTTAGTTGAACTATGGCTTGCTGGAATTTAATTTGTGTTTTGTTTTCAGCTATTCTAGTAGGCATGAACTTACATCTCCGGGTTTTGATCTGCATTTCCCCATTGCCTCCTTCTTATGCAGCAATTTCCTCCAAGGCTCACTGAGACCCAGGAGCTTCTAAAGGGACTTAAGTCCCTGAAACCAACCAGATGCACAAGACTCCTTCTTCCCCAAAGCTATATAAGCAATAAGAACTGCTGAGGAGACTCACCAGTTAGGCTGCCTAAAGAGACACTCAGACCTGTTGGGCTGCCTGAAAGTCCCACAGTGAGCTCCATAGTTCCAGTTGTCACAGTGACCATATTGGCAGGGTGTGGAGGACTTTCAATGTTGTAGCTTCCTTTGAGTCATTCCTGCTCCTGCAAGTAGTCCTTGCCCATATTCCTGTAAGTTAACTCATTGTTTTCCCAAGTTGTGCTTTGTTGGTGTCCTTACTTTGGTCTCTTGTCTGATCCCTATCTGTAGTGAGCATACATTTGTTCAGGTATCCCCAGGGACAGTGTTACATGACACACTTGTATGTTACTTTTTATGAAGAGGCCATCAAAGGCTTTTGTATACTATTTTGTAGTTGGGGAGTGGTGGCCACTGTTAACTTGAAGGAGTTCCTTATGTTTTTCATACAGCTCTTCATCAGAAATATGTTCTGCTACAGAAAAGCCAAAATCACTCAATTGGGAAATCATTAGAATGAGGAAATAGGTTCTGCCAATATTTCTCCAGTTGCATTTGAAAAGTAGATCATAGCTTGACACTCCCATATAAAACTCCTTGGTAACTCTTGACATTTTAACTTGACCCTCAAAGTCCTGGATGGTTGGTTCTTAGCAACTCCCTTTTCCTTCTGTACCCTTATTGCATGCATGCTCTTTTTGTCCTGGAAACACATCAGGTTACTTTCAATGTGTTGTTTGCACTAACTGATCCCCCTCTGGGAATATCCCTTCCTCACCCTGCTGCACAAAGGGCTCCATCTCATCCTTTAGGTCCAGGCTACCATATCTCTTCCCCCAGGAGGCCTGTCCTGACTATCTCCCCCCAAACAGCCACTACCAAACATTATGTACCCCATTGCTCTGATCACTTCACCCTAGTGCTTAACTACAGAGAAATAGACATTTATTTATTTGTTTACTTATTTCTTGTTTATCTCTCCTACTGAAAGGTCAAATCCATCCATGCTGTTCCAGTCAACAAAAGGACAGGGTATGTCATCTATAAGTCACTGAAGTAACATTGGTAAACAAATGATTCTCTATAAAATGGTAGCCTAATTCATCACTGAAGGGCTGGCATTCTTTGCAGTGTGCCCTTTTAAGTATTTGTATACATTTCTGTGTAGCTAATTTCTGAGTCTGGGTACAAGGTGCTAAAATGATGTAAACAGTTCCAATTAGCCAAATGTCATCTATAGCAAATGCTTGGCTCTGCAATAGCATTGGCCTATGAATGTCTGCTATTTTATTTGTTGCAGGGGTTCTTATGGTCTTTGTGCCTCTGGCAATGCAACATCTAAATGTCTTCTCACATTCTAGTTTCTCTTATTGGTGGGTCCTTTCTTTCTCTTCCCAGAACAAATGTCATGACATACTTAAAAACCTAGTTGACATTTCTGGAAAGAGGTTGGGCCTCTTCTTCAGCAATGCCCTTGTGCTTTGGCCATGGTTTTCTACTGGCATTCACTACACTGCCTCAACAGAACTGTTTACATGCCTGTCTCCCTCTTAGACTGTAAGCTTTTCAATGACTAAGACTATAGGACTGCAGTTCTAGGAGAAGCAAGCACTCAGCACTTGTCACTGAATGTCAAATGAATAATTGACTGTGTGATAATGATAGCATTATATCTAAAGGAGTAACTTAAGTAGAGTTGTCATCAGTTACACGTGGTGCAGAGTTGTTGAACAGCTTATCATCATTTACCTCTCCTAACCTCTCCCTTGAATGTCAGGAAGTAAGGGTTTTAGAAACTATACCTTCCAGACCCCCTGCATACAGGATGATATTCTACACAGTACATTGTACAACTGCGAGGAATTCCTCAGATTTTCAATTCCCAAATTACATCATTGCTCTAACGATTCCACACAATAAAACATGTGGTCTGACAGTAGTTTTGGTTTGTCCTTTGGCCATCACAACCTAATTTTGAGTGACAAGGAGCTGATATTATCGCCAGCTTTCCTGATTGTCCTTTCTGGTTTCCTTACTTCTACCTTACTCCCCTTGGACTTCAGAAGAGGGTTCCATGCTTGGAACACTTGGTATATCTTCTTTTGATCATGTACCGATGCATAACAAATTGGTATGGATGGGAAATTTGTGTGTGAATAGAAAATGAAAGAACTGATCCCACAACTATGGAGAACTTCCTCATGTTGGTGTTTCTTCAAGTGATGGTAGTTTTGAAACTAGAAAATCATTATCTACAATGTCACAAATAATGATGTGTATTAGAGATATGAGCTCTGTGAGCTGCCTCATTTCAAAAACTGTCCCACTGAAAGGATTAGATTGAATTACCAAAGACTGAGGGGCAAGAAAAGAAAACCTGAGTAAATGTGCAAGAGTACACTGTGTAGAGAAAAACTATAGAGGCCTCACAGCAAAGAATGCATGTCCCAGAAAAGAACTCTGTAAACAGTCAAAATTCCAGACCTTGAGGCATGGTCTCTCCTGTTGAGTTGTTGCTGTTGGCTCTGTTGTTGGATACTTGGAGAACACGCTTTTTCTGAGCCTTAGGAAATACAGTCTTAATTCCCAGTCCTCTTCGTTCTGAGAAAACAATGTGTAACATATCTGACCAATCAAAAACCATCGAATTCTCATTCCAGCCTGTGTGTTCTTGAAGAAAACTATGAAGAGAAACTTTTTCTGATAGAATGCTGTGTGTCCACAGATGCTTTGGCTCACACAGGTCTGGAAATAGGTTGTGTGTGCATGCCTTTCTGCATGTGTGTCCGAGTCTCTCTCTCTCTCTCTCTCTCTCTCTCTCTCTCTCTCTGTAAGAATGTGTTTCATAGGACCAGAAAAATCATCTTGACTAAATCAGGGTTGAGAGTTAATTAGATATAGAGGCAGGACATGAAGTCTCAATGCTGGGCAGGAAAGTACATGTTGCTTGAGCAGAAAAGTAGCTTCACAATCACAGCCTTCTGAAAACTTTTATGACAGCATGTTAGAAGTGACTGTAAGTAGGCAGTGATGGCAGGGGTGAGAACCATGAAACACCTGTATCATTCACATTTTGACTCCAGACCCAGCAAGTCTGGCTCTACTTTTTACACATTAGCGGACACATTAGGAACAGTTAGAATTGGACACTCACCCAGCAAATGGAGCACAGAGGTTGACACTGCTTTCCCAAGAGCACTGGTGGCTGTGCAAATGTAGGTTCCTTCATTTTCAAGGGAAGCATTCTGCAACAACAGGGATCCATTGAAAAGCAAGGAAACATTGTCACTCAGAGATCCTCCTCTCTTCAACCAAGTTACATTAGGTTGAGGGACACCTTTGGAACAAAAACAAATATGACAAAGGCAATTCCTTTAAGAATAGGGCCACAGAACTATGAGAAAAATACCATTTAGTGTTTGGAGCACAAGTCAGGAAATGGATAAGTCATAGCTAATAGGAAATGGCTGATTCTGTTTTTAAGGCATATGTATGAGGAAGCATGGTAGAGTAAAGGCTTTGGTTCATGGGGCACTTCATCAGTTCATGTATTATATTAGGGGATAGGAGTCAGGAAGATTGATTCACTCTGCGAATGCAAGGGATTATTAAGTGAGGAAGCCAGTGGGAAAATGGTTAAAATAAGAGTTGGTGAAGCTGAGGTAAGTGGAGGCAGAAGAATTCCTACTACTGAGTTGTTACCAGAAAGACATTGAAAACAAAAATATATATATAATTTTAGTTGTCTCTCTAGTTGTGTGTCTTTAGAAAAATCCAATTTACTTATGTCATGTGTACATGCAGAAACTAAATCTCTCTCTCTCTTTCTCTCTCTCTCTCTCTCTCTCTCTCTCTCTATATATATATATATATATATATATATGTTGGCTGTGAACATGTGATAGAAATATTCCTCCTTGGGGAAGATTATATGATTATATTATTATTATATTAATGAGTTTCTTCATTAATTTTATTCATAATTCTATAAAAAGTATACTTTTAGAGAAAAAGGAAGTGTTAGGTTTTAGTCTCGGTAGTGAGACAGAGGCTTCAAGAACTATCACAGGAAGAGCCTGGGTACAGGGGAGGATGGAAAAGCTGGAAAAATGTCTTCATCCACATCTTGATGAGTATTAGCATCTTGCTGGGCTATTGAAATTCAGAACAATTTCACTTGATTCTTATGAGTTAAGGGTGCCTCGGGTGGTGCCTGGGACTGAACTAGGTAGCTGGTTTGAGGGATGTCTTCTCCTCCTAAAGTATTCTGATGGGAGAATCCATGGAATGGCTTTCTGAAGAAATAACCTCAACACTATTATAATGATATATGCACCTTGCAGCAGGCAGAAGGCATGGCCCAGAGTCTGGTGGCACTTTCAAATCCTCACAGTCACTCCTACTTCCTAGGAGGTGGTCATTGTGGGCTCCATCTTACAGCTGAGGACTCTGCTAAGCCTTGGGAATTCAGCACTAGTTGTTCCATCCACTATACCAAGCTTGCCATTCAAGTCTCTTGGGACATTTGTGTGTGTCTTTAGAAAAATCCAATTTACTTAGAAATGTTATGTGTACATGCAAAAACTACAGAATAATACTTGTGCTGAAGTGTTGCACCATCCCGAGGTTTTTGTTTTTGTTTTGTTTTGCTTTACTTTTTAAAGAGAGAATGCAGGAAGAAACAACTGGAATTAGAGGGCCTGTGTGGTAGAAACCTAGTGCAGTGGAAACTTCCTGGAATCTATGAGGGTGACCCTAATGAGGACTCCTAATAATGGAGGATATGGAGTCTGAACTGGCCATCTTTTGTAGCCAGGTAAGGATTTCAGTGATGGGAATGGGTTGAATTTGGTTGAGTTATTGGCCAAAGGGGTCCCATGGAGATTCCCAAAGAAACCAGGCTGATGCTAGGACAGAGGGTTGCTCTCCAAAATCTGGCAACAGGGCTCCATTGCCAAGGGCAGCATTAACACAGGTCATTGACCATAGACAGGTTGAGCTGGTGCCTTCATTGAGCCTTCACCCCTACCTTCTAGTGTCTTTGACAGGGGAAGGTACTTGACAGGCTACCAAAAGAGAAACCTGGACATCAAGCCAGCCACAAAACCCTCAACCTACAAACTGTCCTACAGAATATCTTGTAAGATATTCTGGGGGCAATGGTGTCACAGAGCTTGCAGGAATGGCCAAGCAATGTCTGGTTTAACCTTATGAGAGGGAGCCCATGTCCTGCACTGTCTGGATGGTCAGGAACCAGAGACTGGAAAACCCAGAGACCTATGGTAAAATCAAATACTACTGGCCAAAAAATATCAATGAAATGATTCTTAATGATATTATACTCATAGATCTGTGCCTTATCCAGTCATCATCAGTGAGGCTTCCTCTCGCAGCAGATGCAGAGACCCATAGTTCAACATTATGTGAAGAGAAAGTCTAAATTTGACATCTTCTTGGGGTTCCTCCCCTCACAGCTAGGGGAATCCTCTGGAATATGGGTTGGAAAGACTGTAGGAATCAGATGGGATGGAGGACATCAGGAGAACATAGCTACTGAATCAACTAATCAGGGCAATATGAGCTCACAAAGACTGGAGTGGCATCATGGGACCTGCAAGGGTCTGCTCCAGGCCCCCTGCATATATGTTATGGCTGTTAGCTTGATGTTTTTGTGGGACTCCTAAAAGTGGAATCAGGTACATCTCTGATTCTTGCCAATACTTGGGACCCTTTTCCTCCTATGGGGTTGCCTTGTCCAGCTTCAAAGTGAGGACTTTTGCCTTGTCTTACCGTATCTTGTTTTGTCTTATTTGGTTGTTGTCTCTTGGCAGCCTGCTCTTTTCTGAAGGGAAACTGGGAAACTGGTGTGTGTTGGCGGGGAGGGCTTGGGGATGAGAGTAGATGGGGGAAGCTGGGAGGGGAAACAGTGGTCAGGATGTATTTATACAAGAATCTATTTTCCAAAAAGATGCAATTCATGGTCAATGAAGTGGGAACAGAATGGAAAAGTTGCTGCCTTGGGTGGGAAGGGAGGTGCTGCTCTCATTCTCATCTATTACTTTGTTAACTTTGGATATCACATCGAATTCCAGCAGCCTTAAGTACAAAAGGAATGTGAAATAAGAACAGGAATGCTATTGCATTTAGATGTCACATTCGAGGGCTTCAAAACCTGAGTCTGTCTGAGTTGGTGGCTCTCAGGGATTTCGTCTTTAATCCTGTGGCTTTGTATGATCTGTGTGTGACTGGGGTAGGCAAGGGGGGGGGGGGGTGGCTCAAGATTCGAATCGAATCCTCTGCTTGCTGCATGCATCAAAAAGCTAATATAAGTACTGGTGTCAAGTCATTTCGCAGATTTGACTAAGTTAACAAGTCAGATGACCTTAAAATAGGATGATTATCTGCATGAACAATGCAATGTTGTGAGTCCTGAAGATCAGACAGCAGAGCAAGAGTAAAACAGGGTGGAGTAAGAGCGACAAGGCTGAAGAATATGTGTGAGGGACATGGTCTCCCATTGATGACTTTGAAATGAAGGGATCCATGAGCCAAGGAATGCAAGAATCCTTGAAAATCTGGGAGGTGCCTCCAGTTGGCAGGAACAAGCAAGTGGGTCCTTGAGTTGCAATGAGTAGGAAATAAATTCTATCAACAACAGGAACAACAGGAAGGAGATGCATCCCGAGTCTCCAGACAGGAATTTACCCTCAACAACACTTTCATCTGACCTTTGATCCTCTAGATAGAGCAGTTAGCTCAGTCATACTCTACTGCCTGACATATAGAACTGCAAGATAATAAATGAATGTTGACTTCAGCCTATAGTTTTGTTGTAATTGGTTACAGCAGCAATACAAAATGAATACATTGGTAGATATCAAATTGTGTTGAGTAAACTAGGCTTACTTTAAACATATATATATATATATATATATATATATATATATTTTCTCCTATATATATATATATAGAAAACAAGAGTATTCCCAGGGACACCCAGCTATTAAATACAGAAAATGAGATTTGGAGCCATGTAATTAGACTCAGGAGATCTCTTAAACAGAATGCAGATAGCTCTCATGCATTTCTTAATAAATTCTCTTAAACAGCTTACAGTTGTTGAAAGGTTTGGTGGTGGTAACAAACAAGATCACATGTGCTAGAAACAAAGGATTACCAGCCTACAATCCACACTGCCAGAGAAGCTAGGAAACAAGGAGGACCCTAAGAGAGACATACATGGTACCCCAGAGAAGGGGAAAGGGGCAAGATCTCCTGAGCTAATTGGGAGCATGGGGAGGGGGACGGGAGAGGGAGCTAGAAGAAAGAGAGGGGGAGAACAGGAGGTGAGAGGAGGACATGAGAGAGCAGGAGATTTAGTCAGGGGAAGAACTGAGGAGAGCAAGAAAAGAGATGCCATCATGGAGGGAGCCATTATAGGTTTAATGAGAATTCTGGCACTAGGGAAATGTCCAGAGATCTATGAGTTTGACCCCAACTAACAATCTAAGCAGTGGTTGAGAGGCTACCTTAAATGCCCTTCTCTGATAATGAGATTGATGACTACCTTATATGCCATCCTAGAGCCTACATCCAGTAGCTAATGGAAGCAGAAGCAGAGACCCACAGCCAAACACTGAGCCAAACTCCTGGAATCCAGTTACAGAGAGGGAGGAGCGATGAGGAAAGGGATGAAGACAAAGCTGGCAGCTGACCTGAACAAGGGGTTGCTCATGGGAAACCAGCATAGGACTGTTCCAGAACCCCCCCCCATGAGGATGTCAGTTTGGAGGTCTGGGCAATCTATGAGGTCTTTGGTAGTAGATAAGTATTTATCCCTAGTACACAAATGGACTTTGGGAAGCTCACTCCACTTAGAGGGATACTCTCTCAGCCTAGACACACGGGGGAGGGCCTAGGCCCTGCTCCAAAGGATATGACAGACTTTTAAGATTTCAATGGAACACCTCACCCTCCCTGGGAAGCAGAAAGGGGTTGGGATAGGGGTCCGGTGGGGGGCAGAGGAGGAGGGGAGGGAGAGGGGACTGGGATTGATATGGAAAAGGAGCCTGTTTCTAATTTAAATAAAAAATTTAAAAAGATCATATGTACATATATGCATATATAATATATACTATGTATAGTAGTTATTGATTGCTACCACATAAAGGAAATTATAAAGCCTGTTTATCTTGTACCCATCAGCCTACCAGATGACTTAATTTTGGTAGGTTTTTTAATTATTTTCTTCTTTATTTAAAAAAGGTAACAGTTACCATAAGTGTCCTTCCGCTCCTTGCTACCTGATTCTGACTGACACCCTGGCAGAAGCCTCTCACCTCCAGAGGTCAGACCATCATCCTGAACCCCAGGTAATACTGCCCCTCCACCCCACCCCTGCTCATCCAGTCTAACTCCAACTGCTCCTCCTGTCCTCTTCACCATATCCTGGCCCACATCTCTGGTGGAAGCCTTCCACCAGAAGCTAGGCCAGATTCCTGAAAACTCGGTAAGCCACTATCCCAACCAACCCTCTCCTGCCCCACCCAGTATGACCCTAAGTTCTCCCTTGCCACCTGATCCTATCCCACACCTTTGGGGAAGCCTCCTACCTTCCACCCCATCAGAGGCCAGGCCAGAATTCTGATTCCTAGAGGCAAGACCAGCATCCTGAACCCCAGAGATCAGGCTAACACCAAATAGACTGGATCAGAAAAGGAAATGCCTAAATCACATAATCAAAACACTAAGTATACAGAATAAAGAAAGAATATTAAAAGCTTCAAGGGAAAGGGGCCAAATCACATATAAAGGCAGACTTATAAGAATTACACATGACATCTCAACAGAGACTCTAAAAGCCAAAAGGGCCTGGACAGATATGTTGCAGACTCTAAGAGACCATGAATGCCAGCCAAGACTAATATACCCAGAAAAACTTTCAATCACTATAGGTGGAGAAAACAAGATATTTCATGACAAAGTCCAATTTAAACAATATCTATCCATAAATCCATCCCTGCAGAAGGAACTAAAAGGAAAACTCCAATCGAAGGAAGTTAACTACACAGGCAATAGATAATCTCCCACCAGCAAAATCCAAAGAAGGGAGACACACACACACACCACCACCACCACCACCACCACAACAGCAGCAACAGCAACATAATAGTAACAAATAACCAGTGTTCATTAATATCTCTGAATATAAATAGATTCAATCCGCCAATAAAAAGACACAGGCTAACAGAATGGATACAAAAAAACAGGGTCTGTCATGCTGCATACAAGAAACATACCTCAACATCCAAAATAGACATTACCTCAGATTAAAAGGTTGGAAAGAGATTGTTCAATCAAATGGCCCTAACAAGCCAACTGGTGTAGCTATACTAATATCTAAGAAAATAGACATCAAAACAAAATTAATCAAAAGAAATGGAGAAGGACATTTCATACTCTTTAAAGGAAAAGTCCACCAGGATGATATCTCAATTCTAAACATCTATGCCCCAAATGCAAGGGCACCCACATTTGTAAAAGAAACATCACTAAAGTTTAAATCACATATCAATACCTACACATTAATAGTGGGGGACTTCAACATCCCACTCTTAACAATGGACAGCTCATTCAAACAGAAACTAAACAGAGAAATAATGCAACTAACAGATATTATGCATCAAATGGACCTAAAATATCTACAGAACATTTCACCCAAACACAAAAGAATATACTTTCTTCTCAGCACCTCATGGAACTTTCTCCCAAACTGACCACATAGTTGGTCACAAAGAAAATCTCAAGAAATACAAGAAAATTGAAAATAACACCCTGTATCCTATCAGGTCAGCATGAATTAAAGTTAGATCTCACAACAGAAAGCCTACAAACTCATAGAAACTGAACAACTCTTTACTGAATGGCCACTGGGTCAAGGAAGAAATAAAGAAACTAAAGATTTCCTAGAATTCAATGAGAAGGAATGCCCAACATTCACAAACTTATGGGACACAATGAAAGCGATGTTAAAGGAAAGTTCATAGCACTAAGTGCCTGAATAAATAAATCAGAGAATTCTCATACCAGTAACTTAATAATGCCCTGAAAGCTCTAGAACAAAATGAAGCAGACATGTAAAAGAGGAGTGAGTGGTAGGAAATAATTGAACTCAGTGCTAAAATCAATAAAATAGAAACAAAACTGTGAAACAAATAGTTGGTTCTTTGAGAAAATAAAAAAGATAGACAAACCCTTATCCAAACTAACTAAAAGGCAGAGATAGAATATCAAAATTAACAAAATCAGAAATGAAAAGGGGGACATAACAACAGGCACTGAAGAAATTAAAAGAATTATTAGGTCATACTTCAAAAACTTGTACTCCACAAAATTGAAAAATCTAAAAGAAATGGATAATTTTCTTGGTAGATACCACTTATCAAAGTTAAATCAAGATCAGATAAGCAATTTAAATAGACCTATATCCCCCAAGGAAATAGAAGCAGTCATTATTAAAAGTCTTCCAAACAAAAAGGGCCCATGACTAGATAGTTTCGGTACAGAATACTACCAGATCCTAAAAAAAGAGCTAATACTAATACTCAAATTATTCCACAAAATAGAAACAAAAGGAACATTGATAAATTCATTTTATGAAGCCATAGTCACCCTGATACCCAAACCAAAGACTCAACAGAAAAGGAGAACATGAACATAAACACAAAAATACTCAATTGCAATCTCAATCCAAGAACTCATCAAAAGATCATCCACCATGATCAACTGGATTCGTCTAAGAGATGTAGGGATGGTTCAACATACAAAAACCTGTCAGTGTAATCCACCATATAAACAAACCAATTAGATGTTGAAAAAGCCTTTGAGACAATCCAGTACCCCTTCATGATAAAAGTCTTGGAGAGATTGGGATACAAGGGATATACCTAAAAGCAATATATAGAAAGCTGACAGACAACTTCGAATTAAATGGAGAGAAACTCAAAGCAATTCCACTAAAATCAAGAACAACAGAAGGCTGTCCATTCTCTCCATATCTATTAAATATAGTATTTGAAGTTCTAGCTAGAGCAATAAGACCACTGAAAGAGATCAAGGGGATACAAACTGGAAAGGAAAGACTCAATGTATCATTACTTGTAGATGATATAAAAGCATACAAAGTGACCCCAAAATTTCTACCAGGGAACTCCTATAGCTGATAAACACCTTTGGCGAAGTGACTGGATACAAAATTAACTAAAAAAATCAGTAGTCCTCCTTTATACAAATGATAAAAGGACTGAGAAAGAAATCAGCCACAAATAATAAAAAATATCTTGAAGTAACTCTAGCCAAGCAAGTGAAAGGCCTGAATGACAAGAACTTCAAGTGTTTGAAGAAAGAAATTGGAGACGATATTAGAGGATGGAAAAGATATCCCATGCTCATGTATCAGTAGGATTAACATAGTAAAAATGGCCATCCTCCCAAAAGCAATCTACAGATTCAATGCAATCCCCATCAAAATTCTAACACAATTCTTTACTGACCTTGAAAGAACAATACTCACCTTCATATGAAAAAAAAAAAAACTCAGGATAGCTAAAACAATCCTGGAACTATCACCATCCCAGATTTCAAGCTCTATTACAGAGCTATAGTAATAAAAACTGCATAGTATTGGCCTAACAACAGATAGGAGGGTCAATGGAATGGAATCAGACATAAATCCACATACAGATGGATACTTATTTTTTATAAGGAAGCCAGAAATATACAGTGGAAAAAGAAAGCATCTTCAATATATGGTGCTGGTATACCTGGGTAGAAGAATATAAATGTAGAAGAATACAAATAGATCCATATCTATCATCATGCACAAAACTCAAGTCCAAGTGGATCAAAGACCTCAACATAAATCCAGAGACACTGAACCTGACAGAATACAAAGTGGGTAATAGCCTTGAACATACTGGCACAGGTGACAACTTCCCGAATAAAACACTAAGATCAGCAATTAATAAATGGGACCTCATGAAACCAAAAGGCTTCTGTAAGGCAAAGAACATCATCAGTAGGACAAAAGGGCAGCCTACAGAATAGGAAAAGATTTTCATCAACCCCACATCTGACAGGGGGCTGATTTCCAAAATATATAGAAAACTTGAGAAACTAGACATCAAAACACTAAATGATCCAATTAAAAATGAGGTACACATTTAAACAGAATTCTCAATAGAAGAATCTCAAATGGCTGAGAAAACATTTCAAGAAATTTTCAACATCTTTAAGCCATCAGGGAAATCCAAATCAAAATGTGTTTGAGATTCCATCTTACACCTATCAGAATGGCTAAGATCAAAAACACAAATTACAGCTTATGCTGGAGAGGATGTGGAGCAAGGGGAACACTCCTCCATTGCTGGTGGAAGTGCAAACTTACACAACCAATTTGGAAATCAGTATGGCTGTTTCTCAGAAAATTGGGAATCAATATTCCTCAAGAACCAGCTATAACACTCTTGGGCATATACCCAAAGGATTCTCACTAATACCACAAGGACACTTGCTCAACTATGTTCATAGCAGCTTTATTTATAATAGCCAGAATCTGGAAACAATCTAAATGTCCCTCAACTGAAGAATGGATAAAGATAATGTGGTATATTTACATAATGTAGTATTACTCGGCATTTAAAAACAATAACATCATGGAATTAGAAGGCAAATGAATGGAACTAGAAAAAAATCATCCTGAGTGAGGTGGATAAACATGGTAAGTACTCACTTATAAGTGGATATTAGCTGTAAAGTAGAGGATAATCATGCTACAATCCACAGTCCCAAAGAGACTAGGTAACAAGGAGGGCTCAAGAGGGACATTTGGATTTCCCTGGAAAGGGGAAATAGAAATTTTGTGGGTGGACTGGAGGATGAGGTGGGAAACTCTCAGGTATCTATAAGGATGCTAGGGAAACTCTCATGTATCTATAAGGATGACCCCAGCTAAGACTCGTAGTAAAAAAGGATACTTGCCTGAAATGGCCACCTCATGTAACCAGGCAAGACTACCAGTGGAGGAATTTGGACAACAACCCAGCCACACAACCTTAGACCTACAGTCTGTCCAGTCTATGAGATGTGCTGGGATTGATACCTAGGCCAGTAGTCATCAAAGAGGCTTCATCCAGTAACTGGTGGAAAGAGATGCAGAGACCTACAGGCAAACATTAGACTGAACTGGAGGAATCCTGCTGAAGAGGAGCAGGAGGATTGTAGGAGCCAGAGGGGTCAAGGACACCACAAGAAAACCCACAGAATCAACTTGGGCTCATAGGGGCTCACAGAGTCCAAACCAACAACCAGGAGCCTGCAAAGGCAGACCTAGGCCCTCTACATATATGTTATAGTTGTATAGCTTGGTCCTCTTGTGGGACTCCTAA